TGTTTTTGTTTTTACCAGCAGCCTATCTTCAAATCTCGTGCTATGGCAGAAATGGCTAGTTGTCCACCAATATTTGCTCCTTCCTTCCAAGGAATGGACATTTAGTAGGGCTCATAGACACCCGTTAGAAGACTACAATGCACAGCTTTCCTTGATGGCCAAGCATGGCCATGTGGCCAGTTTGTAAACTAGGGCATTGGAGAGTAACCGTTCGTGAGACTTGCAGGTAATGTCCAGAAGAGAAAAGAAATACCATCCACTTCTCTCTTCCTACTGTCTGCTTGCTGGGAATAGAAACACCATAGGAATGAAGGAGCCGGGAGGTAGAATACTGGAACCAACACCATGGAGCCAAAGCATCCCCTTGGAATTGACTATTCCTTCAGACAGTTATGTGAGAGGTGAGTAACATCTGCTTCCTTTAAGCTGCAGTAGACTGGGGTCTTTGTTACAAAGACAAAATTATGTTCTAACTAATACACATGCTTTTATTTCTACTTACTGATTCTTTTAAGTTTAGTATTTTCTTTTGATTATCCATTACACAAAAAGGAGTCACCTCTCTTTCATGAACATTAGAATTGTTTTTTTCCCAAGTTACCACAAACAGCCATATAAATTTTGCCCCACAAAAAGGAAAGAAATTGATGATTTCTATAGTTGCTATACAGTTTTCATCAGGATGTCTTCACCGTGATCCTGTACATTTTCTTCCCCTGCCACTGGTGGTAGATATTCCACATCCTAAGTCTTTTTCTATCTTAATTTGCCTTCTCCTTTTGGTGGGGCACATTGTAGAGTAGCTTCCTGAAAAAGAGTTCATTGGAAGTAAGATTTTTGATTGTTTGGGCATTGGAGAATATCTTTTATGTTCCTCTATCATTTGCTTGAATGTTGGTTGGGTATGGAATGCTAGGTTGGGGAGTATTTTCTTTCAGGATTTTGAAACTTCTCCACTGTCTTCTGGCTTCCAGTATTGCTTTTTGAGAATTAAGAGGTCATTCTAATTACTGATACTTCATTTGTAATTAGCTTTTCTCTCTTTCAGGATAATTTCTCTGTCCCCAGACAGAGATTTTCAAATGTCTGAAAAGTATGCCATCATGTGTTTCTATTTTCATTCATTGTTCTGAGAGCTCTATTACTTCATTAAATTTGGAAAATCATGTATTTCAGTTTGGAAAATTAGCTTGACTTCTTTGTTGTTGATTTTCTCACTATGTATTCTCTATTTTCTTTCTTTTTTCCCTGGAATTTCTTTTTTTTTTTTTTTTAAAGATTTATTTATTTATTTATTCATGAGAGACAGAGAGAGAGAGAGACAGAGGCAGAGGGAGAAGCAGGCTCCCCACGGAGCAGGGAGCCCGATGCGGGGCTTGATTCCAGGACCCCGGGACCCGGGGACCATGACCTGAGCCGAAGGCAGACACCTAACGGCTGAGCCAGCCAGGCGCCCCAAGGATATCCTTTTTAATAAGTGGAAAAACTGAATATCCACAGGCGCAAAAAAAAAAAAAAAAGAAAAAGCCCATAATTTACAAAAACAACCCCCCCAAAAAAATATCACAGACTTAAATGTAAAATGAAAACCACAAAACTCCTAGGAGAAAATGTAGGAGAAAGTTTTGTGACCTCGTGTTAGGCAAAGAGTTCTTAGCTATGACACCAGAGATACGATCCAAAAGGGAACAAATAAATTGGGGTTCTTCAACAAAAAAATTTGCTCTTCAAAAGACAAGAAAATCAAAAGTCAAGCCACAAACTGGGAGAAATCTTTGCAAATTCACTCATTTGATAAAGGACTGTATTTTTGGTATGCTCAACATTAAACACTGAGAGAATAAAGGGTCCAATTAAATAAATGGGCACAAGATACGAACAGACACTCCATAAGAAAGTATGTGATTGCCAAATAACTACAGGAAAAGATGTTGAGAATCATTAGCCATTAGGGAAATTCAAATTAAAACCATAACCAAAGACCACTACACATCTACTAGAAAAGCCGAAGTTAAAAAGACTAATCATGCAAAGTGTTGGAAAGGACATGAGGGAACTGGAACTCTTGTGGTAAACTTGTGCTGTCAATGGAAAATGGAAAATAATTTGACTGATTCTTAAAAAAGTTAATCATGTAATCTACGATATGATTCAGCTATTGCACTCTGAGTTTCTACTCAAAAGAAAATGAAATATATGATCATTGTCGACATGGAAAGATTTTTCCCTTCTTCCCTTGGTTCTTTGGCTGGTCTAACAATTAAACTGACATAAAACAGATTAACAGGAGAAAAACAAATTTAGTTTCATAGGTGCCGGAGCCCCATAAAAACATGACTCAGAGACGTGAGCAAAGCAGGCAGCTTCTATACTTTGGAGACAAAGAAACAATAAATTTCTGAAGAATCGACAAGGCAAGCTGGGCTTGGGGTAGTAAATTAGTGAAGTAACAAGATTTGTCTATATAGCCCTGTTGGTCCTAAATTCCCAACTCTGGTGAGAAAGAGGTCTCCTACCCTCCTGGTACAGGGAGGGTACCTTTCACGTGGAAGATTTATTTCCTGCTTTCAGGGGGAAAAATGAGGGTCAGAGAGTTCTTCTTGTACCAGCTGTCTCTCAAGTAATTTTGTTCAAAATAATCAATATGCCAAAGTGGGATATTCCAGGAGGGTCTATTCCATTCCCCTTCATCACACGAAGACTCATACACAAATGCTCACAGCAGTCCTCTTTGTATTCGCCAAAATCTGGAAATTGTCTAAATGTCCATCAATACAAGATGGCCACAAGATGTGGTAATATTCATGCAATAGAATTCTACTCAGCAGGGAGAAGGAATGAACAGCTGCTAGACAAATGTGTTGGTTTCCTATTGCCCTATTGCAGCATGATACATTACCACGGTTTAAAAGAAAAAAAAAAAAGACAACAGGCGCCAAATCGAGTTGTTCTGCCAAATTGACTGGGCTCACTGAGGCAGACACTAAAACTAGGAATTAAACCTGCCAACATTAAGAACTTAAACACCGAACAGGCTCAAACACTGTAGCCAGGACCCTAGTCTCTCTCATTTCCAAACTCCGTCTCTAGCTACAAGTTCCCAGTCTAGAGGGGGGGGTAGGGGTTGACTTGACATGAGTGTGATGCTGATAATCTTAGCTCCCCCCATCTTTTAGATGACTGACTTTCTCTTACACAGAGCAATGTAGTGAGCTACAGTTCCACACGTCATCTCAAGAGGCAATGTATAAATTGCACCAGCCTCAAATATTTATCCTGCAGCTTCTCTCAAAATTCACCGGGCCCTTTCAGTTAGGATAATGATCCTTCCCCTCCTGGGCAAAAATAATGGAAGTTGCCTCTCCCTGTTAGGGATGGGGGACTCACATCCAGCATCCAGGGGACCACGCTCATCACCAGCATCCTCGCCTGGATCTCAGCCACCAGCCTCCCCAAGATCACGCTGGTCCAGATCCTTTGAATTCGACTGATGTCAAGACGTTGAGGACAAGTGAAAAAGCCATGCTTGGTGCTCCCTCTCCAGATGCCCAAGACAAGCGAAGCAGGAGCTGTGTTTGCAGATTGTCAAACAGGGATTTTGAAGTAGTCCAGGTGAACAGGATATGTCAATCAATGCCTTTCTGAGTTTTTCTGCCAGGGTAACTGGGAAAAAGAAGGATTTACCATTGTGGTAAGTGATAAGGACTGAGAATGTTCTTGTTTCCAAATGATGTTGTAATACACACATAAAATGCATACATAACACTAGAGAGATATTTGAATTAATAAATTTAGAGAGGTTGCTAGATACAAAATGATGTACAAAAATCAATTTTATTTCTTTATATATTATGGTTACAGAGTGAAAGATGATATTTTAAAGAGGTCGTTTCTCCTCAGTTTAATCAGTGGAATCAGTTGTACGCCTATTAACACACCAGCATTTTCCTTCCTTGGCAACTGAGAAGATTAATGTAAATTGATGTGGAAATGAACAGGGTCCAGAAACCTCAAGATCAACACAAAATGCAAAAACCCGAAGGCATTGCACTAAAAGTATCATTTGTGATAGGAAGCCATCCTATTTATAGCCACCTGGGACTGTTCCACAGACAATAAATCAATGAAAAGCAAAATTTCAAAAAGGCAGAAACGTATATAGAACCCGAATGAAAGATAGAGTAGGCGCTGCAGAAAGTGGGGGAAGGACCGCCTTTTCAGTAAAGACTGCTGGGCTAATTGGACAAGAATAGAGAACAAATCTGAAAATGACCCCTCTATGTCACCTTAAAAATTTCAGTTCAAAATGCAGTGTATCTGGAATGGGAAATGAAAAACAGGGAACCTCACATAAGATAACCCCAGTGAAAACTAGAGGACTTCATGGAGGGAAGGACTTTTCTAGGGGAGAGAATGCCATCACCATGAAGCAGAAGACGGAAAATCAGCATATATTAAAATTATGTTAAAAGAAAATGAAACCACTGAGAGTGGAAAATGGAAAAACACAAAATGGCAAAGAGCTCATTTGCCAGAAAAATAAAAAAACAAGCAAAACACTCCCTAACCAAATAAAGATAAAGAAGCCCATTGGAAAAAAAAAAAAATTGTCAAGACTTGAAAAGGCACTTTATAGAAGAGAAATTCTAAATGGACGGGGGGCCCAAACTCATTAGTGTATTCAAGTAAAAATCACAGTCTGATGACCCTGCACACCAACCCCACGAGCCATGCTCACCAGGCGGAGCACGGTACCCACAGCGACCACGGTGACACCACGTGACAGCGAGCATGTCAAGCGGAGGGGACTCTCCGTACCGAGGATGTGGGAAAATGGCAACACCCACACTGAAACCCTGTTCATCAGCGTGTACGAAAACTGGACACATGTCTGATCTCTAATTCAGCAGCTCGAATAACTGCAAGCTCACGGCCTCGGAACGACTGACGCGTTTACGCAGCAGCATTGCTATAATTGCCCAAATTCGCAAAGGCCTCTGTGGGAACCTGTTAACTGGTATCTAGTAAAAACGCTTATACACACACACGAACACCAGCATTGAGGAGGCAGGGCTCTGGGAGCAGACACTGCGTTCACATGTCACAGTGGGGCTCCTCAGAGTCCCCGAAACAGAGACAGGTCAGTGCTTTCTGGAGGTTAGCCACGGATGATGGGGAAGGAGACTCCACTGATTCCAACTCTTAAGGTTCTTGGATCCAGTTCCAAAGAGGGTGGTTCCTCCCTCCAACCAACACCAAGCAATTCTTGGACACCAGCAGGGTCCATTCAATTCTGATACTGTATATGGGGAACAGCATCAGATCCCACGGGTTTAGGGCTCAGTCCGATAAGACTGCCCCTCTAAGATGCCAGTTTTAAGTCCCAAGCTGTTACCTGTGCTTCTGATTGACTGGCTACAGACTGGAGTTTCCCAGGACCTCCTCCTCTCTTAATTTGCTAGAATGGCTCACAGAACTCAGGGAAACAACATTACCAGTATATTAAAGGAAGTGATAAAGGATATGAATCAACAGCCAGATGAAGAGATACATAGGGCAAGTTGTGGAGGAAGGCCAAGGAGCATCCATGTCACACCAAACACCCGGTGTCTCCACATGTTCACCAACCTAGAAGCTCTTTAAACCCAGTCCTTTTGGATTTTCATGGAGGTTTCATTGCACAGTCATGATTGACTAAGTCACTGGCCATTGGCTGATTCAACTTCCAGCCGCACTCCAATCCCCAGAGGTCTGGGGGCAGGACTCAAATTTCCAGCCCTCTAATCACCGGGTTGGTCCTCCTGGCAACCAGCCCTGCCCTAGGGTGGGGTCCAAAAGTCACCTTTATTAATAACAAGACACCCATTACACTTTCACGGCTCTGAAAGCATTTACAGGAACTGTGGATGAAGACCTAATATGTCTTATCATTATATTGCGGAGATACACACAGCTATGAGGGTGACACCATCAAGAAAGACTGAGTGTCCCATTACTATTTGGGATTCTTTCATTCCTTTGCAGATGGCTTAATGCCCATTTTGTAGCAGGATGGGAGTTCAGTGCTTAAACCAAAATTTAGGAGTTAAAAAAAAAGCTAACTGGAAGTTGCAAGCGAAGTATGATTGACAACATTGAGCAAAGGCAGGATATATATTCCATTAAAAAAAATGCTTTGGAAAGGAGCCAATTTTTTTTAATTGAATTAAGTAATACTTATCTCTACAGGCAATTATGCATTCTTCATATCCTCTTTGCTCACTATCTCACTGCCTCATAAGATTTTGAGCTCCATGAAATATAGCCCATATTTCTGTGACTTTCCGTTTTAGCCCATGTCAACAAATAACACTCAACATAACTTTAAATGGTTCTACGATGTGGCAAAGCCATTTATATTTTTAAGGAGAATCCCCTAGAGTGCTTTATTAATGTTTTCTCTAAAATATGCTCAGGGTTGAAGGGGTAGAAGAATTCCATTACCAAAGGAATGGTGTAAGACAATTTCTCTACCTTCCAGACCATCTACTTACTGTGTTTATTTTTATAAAACAAATGCTGCCAATGGTAAACACATATTCCTCATCATATTCCTCATCGAAGTGATTTCTAATAAGGTATAGAAAGAATGCAAGAATTAAAACTCACTTCTTACACTGAGAAGCTCTCTTCTGGCATCCAACTCTAAAGACTGCAAGCTACATGTAAAGGGCTCTAGTTCCATGCTGCCATTTTATTGGGGCAAGTGAGATCACACCTTTTACTCACATCTTGCCACACCCATCTCAACTACTATCTCCTTTGATTGGATTTTCCATTAAAAAGCCAATCAAAATAAGGCGAGAAATCACCAGCCCATTAAGACTCCAGCTATACACACTAGTAAAGGATACAGAGTAATTTCAAATACTCACCGGTTCTTGGATTCAACAAAGCAAGGCAATGTTGGATTTTTAAATACGGGGTCTTGGAAGCCCTCTTAGACCTGATCCCTGAAGGAGGAGGAGGAACCAGCCTCAGGGAAAGGGACAGTTTAGAACAGTGGATAAGGCAGACACTAGATTTCAGACCAGACAGGTAAAAATTCTAAACCCCCAAGCCAATTTATCAGCTAGTGATCTTGGGAAAGTTTAAGTTCTTTGTGCCTAGGATTTATTAAATTTTAAGTGGAGATCATAATTGTATCAGATATTTTTTTAACGAGAATGTGACCCACATTTGATTAGGAAGTGCACATCTTAGCCCTCCACGCCTTATTTAATGCATGTGGATGTGATCGTGTCTGCTCACATGTCTGTTTCTCACACTGTGTGTCCCTGTACTACTCTGGACCAGTCCAGGTCTGTGTGTTTTTCAGTAGTATTGTGTGTGGTTTAAGTTGTGTCTCAACAGCAAGAGTTTGTTTGCTGTGTTACGGTCCGTGGGGTCGCGGTCTGCATCACCTACCAGAATGGACTTCCTTAGGGTTGTGCTGGGTCACTGCACTGTGCCCAAGATGGCCCTGCCCAGAACCACGTACAGAGAGGACTTAGTAATGGTGCAGGAAATCAATACAGGAATGGATGAGATTTGCTGTTTTGTGCCTGTCTGTCGCTGTATGTCCCTGTCATTGTGTGTCTCGATCATCTTGTCAGTGACAACCTCTGAGGAGGACCTGATTAGATGAATGCCTGATGTGCATCTTGTTGTCACTGCGTAGCAGTGTCCATGTTTTGTCCTTTTATGAACGTGTGGCTTTTCAGAATCAGTGTGTTTGGAAGTCATGAACCCTGGCTCTAGATTTGCCATCATGTGAGCCTCACAAACCCCACAAGGGGCGCTAGCTCCTGAATTTCTGGGTTTTGCTATTCAAGGACTATATACAAGGACCGTTTCTGCTCTCTGACCTTGACAAGACCCCAGACCTAGACCCATGTACATATGTACCCAGACTCAGTACACAAAAATTCTATTCTGGAAGTAAATTTTTCATTTAATATTTCTTTAGAAGTCCATTACGTACCAGTCTTGATACCACAGACACACTACAGAGTGGGACACAGCCCAGGCTCTTACAGAGAAAGGGAGACAGATATTATGGGAGACAGATATTAAACAAATGGCTGGGAACATTTAACTGTAATTCTTGTATGTGCATAAAGAATTACAAGGGGCTCTGAGAACTTACCACGAGGCATCTTAATCTTGGAGACCAGAAAAGGCCTCCCAGGGTGGTTGGCATTAGATCTTTGCAGCTAAGAATGGCAGAAGAACAAGAGCACACTGCAGGGTGTAAGCATACAACTAATCTTAATTGGTATATTTTCTGCTTGAAGAAAGAAATCTCTTGAGAAGTTCTCATCTTATCAGAAGATAGTGCATTGAGAACAGATTACTGTGATTCTTCAGTGGTCTAATATGCTAGGAAGGGTTCTACACATTTCTGTATACATTTGATAGAAGCATTTGATAGAAGTACCCAAATGAGTGGGGAATGCGCTTGTTGAAGAAATATCACCCCAAAGCAGGTGCACTTGGGCAGGTGTCTAATCAGCTGGGTCCATGACAAAGCACCACGTGTGTTACAGAATGCAGAACCAAACTCAAAGTTGAGAAGCAAACAATCCGTCCCTTTCCTCTATAGCCATTCTACAGAAGGTAAATCTGGAAATAGTCTTTGAAAAAATATAAATCAGTCAAAGCAAGAGGAGCAGTCCAGATTGCACAAACATCCTAAGAAATGGGTTAGGTAGGAATTCATAGGACACGGGTGAGAGAGATCAAAGCGTTACTCTGAGGAGTATTAAGAGCGTGGAGGGTCTCGAATGCTGACATAAGGAGTTGGGTGTTGATCTAAAAGACAGTCAAGTTGTGGCCATTTGATGTATTTTTCTCTATTTTATATATATATATATATGCATGCATATAATATTATATTATTATACATATGTGTGTGCATTATATTAGTATCTATCACAACATGTCAGGATTTCTCAACTTTGATACTAATAACATTTTGTGCCAGAAAATTATTTGATGTTGGAGACAGTCCCATTGGCAGCATCCCTGGCCTTTACCCACTAGATGGTTCCTCTCTAGCTGTAACAACCAAAAATGTCTTTAGACATCGTTGAATGTCCCCCGATGGGGAAAAATAACCTGTGAGTGAGAACCACCGCTACAGATCCTTCATTCATGAAAGAGCAATGCTGGTGGAGCTGGAGAAGCCTCAGCCCTAAATTAAAAAAAACAGACAGAAGGGCCAAAGGCCAGCAACTCCTTAGGTTTGTTTTGTTCTGCTGAAGATCCAAGAAGTTTGCAATGAGCTTTGGGGAATGAGAATCTCACTGAGCAGGATGCTATGTGTTCCTATCAAGGAGCAATGGAAGTCCACTAATTAAAAGAGAAGGTTCATGTCATATACTTTTATATTGTTAATATTCAGTGAACTCATTAATACTTCCTAATCGATTTTTTAATTGCAGTAAAGTGCATGCATCACAGGAAACTTTACCTAGTGAGCAGATGATTGAGTGGAGAGACTCCTCTATAATGGTGTCAACAGATTTATTCAAAGTAAAGCTTACATGTGTAAAGTAAAGGTGGATCCTTCATTGTAAATAGCAATAATCTTCCTTCATTGTAAATAGCAATAATCTTCCCTCCTCAGCACTCACCCACTTCATGGTGCCAGAAATTAACTAAGGGTTGACTCCTGTCCAGAATGTTCACAAGAGTGAACTTATTAAGAGTGCCTTTCAGTAGAATATTTTTTCTCTCAAATACAAATGTCCCATTTCAGTTTCAACTCCCCCCACCCCACTATTTCTTTCTCTAGAATTGTGTGCACTGGTTTGGTGGTGGAGTGTTTGGGTTAGGCCCCTCTCGGTACTGTTAGTATGGGAGAGCATACTCATTGCAGACTGAGCTTTCCCTGCGCTCTGATGGCCTCTACACATGCGTATCCTCATCCCCTGATGTGGGGTCAGCTTTTCCCAATATAACAGTTCTGATAGCAGGCCTGCTTCTCCTCAAATCGCATCCACACGATGAACCAGTATCAGCCTTTCTACGACTAGTATATAAAAATAAATTGGATTTAAATGAATTAATAAACACTACAATTTCAAAAATAATAGCATATGCAATAGCATGTTTATATATACCATATTTAATAGCATAATTTAGATATTTAGATACAAATATCTAAAATATATCTAGTAAAATATGGGCTATATTTCCACGTAGAAAAATCATGTAAGACACTACTGAGATACAGAAGACATAAATAATTGAAGGGTATAATATGCATTGTCAGATTCAATAACTAAAGATGTCTATTATATTCAAATTGATCTACAGATTCAAACAATATAATCCAAAATTACATCAGCCTTCCCTTTTTGAGGGGCAGAAATTTACAAAATGATTCTAAAATGTATATGGAAATACAAAAAGGCAATTGAGAACAGGCCAATCTTGAATAGGAACAAGGGGTCAAGACTTACCACAAAGTTATAGTAAATAAGACAGTCGTGTATTGTAAAGTAGGCAGATGAGTAGGAAGCTGAAAAGGACCACACATACATGGACATTTGATGTAAATGGCAAAGGTGATTTTGAAGAGCAAAGGGGGAAAAGATAAGTCCTTCCGACAATAGTGTTTGATTATTTGAATACCACAATGAATATATTTATCTATAGATCAATGATAGATCAATAAATAGATATTCCGATTGATTTTTCCTCCCACTATCAGTAAGTATTAGTTGCAGGTGATTTGCAGATCTACATATCAGAGGTAGAAAAATAAAGCCTCCGCGTGTTAATAAAGGGCAGTCTCTGTGATTTCAAGATTTTTTTCAACCTCACCTATCTTTCACTTTCTCTCCTCCTTCCCCCGCTCCACCCCCTCCTTTCGCAGGAACCAGAAAAGATGCGCAGCAGAAGGCACTTGATTCGTCACACAGAGGCACCCACACAGACAATCAGCACCCGACCAACCATGAAGGGGAGAACCCAGTCTGCCACAGCGCGAGCCCGAAAGTAGGGAAGGGAGGGAGCCGCGAAGTCAACCTTTTTTGGCAAATGGGCTTAAATTGGAAGGATTTCTCTCCTCCTTACTAAAATACCTGACCGACGAGGGTGGGATTCGAACCCACGCGTGCAGAGCACAATGGATTAGCAGTCCATCGCCTTAACCACTCGGCCACTTCGTCTCCACGCCCTGGCCCCTGGGGTACTTAATGCCAGAGCTTACTCGGGAACTCCGGCTGCCTTGGACGGAAGGACGAGGAGGAGAGGCTCGGGGACGTCCGCGGGACACGGGGATGGCCGGCTTCTACACGAGCGGACCAAGGCCTGGCCGGGAAGCCTGGCGATGGGGAAAAGGCGGGGTCCGCTCTCCCAGGACTCGGGACAGGGGTCCGGCGGCGACCGCAGCACCTTGCCGCCGGGTCGGGGCTCCCTCGCGCGGGCGGCCGGGCCCCGCGGGGGCGCATGCGCGCAGGCGGTGGGCGTGGCCCGGCGGCGTGGGAACCTGTGGGCGGTGAGCCCGCCGCGGGCAGGGGCTGCCGCGGGCAGGGGCTGGCACGGCCGGTGCCCCCGGGGCCGACCTCGGGGGCCCTGGCGAGTCGGGACTGGGGGTTCGTGGGAACCGAGACAGTCTGGGCGGTTAGACGGCGGGTCCGCGTGGGGCCGCGCCCCGTTTCTCCTCCGGGTCCTTACCGCCTGGACGCGGCGGGGTGAACCTGCGCAGAGAGGAGCCCTTCACTCGTGGGGCTCTTCTCCCGCTCCTCCGCCTCCGAGGAACCGGGAGTCCCCCCACCCCCGATACCTCTGAGCCTCTTAGGTGATTTTCTTGGGGCAGGTTGCCCAACTTTCATTCGATTTTCCAAGGGATGTGGTGCTAAAAATGTTAAAAGACTCACTGCCAGCGAGAAGATTATTTGGAGAGAGGCTGAAAAAAAGCTATTTCAACAGCTTTTTTTAGATTTTTGGTTTGTTTCACGGAATGAATAAAATGCACATAAATGAACATGGGTAGGGCTGAATTCTGACTAATCAGAATGAATCATTTATGCCCGGGGAAAGAAGGTCATATTAAAGGTGAGTCTTGCAGAGGAAGTGTTCTAGAGGTGGCCAGGAGAGGGGATGTCCCACGCAGAGGAGGGGGCCTGAGCAAAGGCAGGGAGGCTCGCAGGATCTAGACAAGTGTGGAGAAATCACTGTGGCTGAAGCGCTGAAGCATGTGAGTGACTGATCAGGAAGCATCCATAAATCTGAGAAGGAAGGTGGCCATGAAGATTTTTTTTCCTGAAGCCCAAGCAAATCAATCATAGGATGAACAACAGGGAACATGGGCGAAATCCTGCAGGAATGGATCAAAGAACCATTGTCTCTTCTTATTTGAAAAAACCCTTCTATTTAAGTGTTTGCCGCATTGACCTGCTTAGATCTTCATGCTCAGCTTCACCCTCTTCTCTCTGCTTGTTTTCCACACTCGTCCAATTCCTGATTTTTTTAAAAAAAAGATTATAAACATTTATTTGGGACAGAGAGAGCACAAGAAGGGACTAGGGTCCGAGGGAGAGGGAGAAGCAGACTCCCCACTGAGCATGGGGCTGAAGGCAGCCACTTAACCAACTGAGCCACCCAGGTGCACCCAGTTCCTGATTTTGTATCAAGAAGAATCTATTTCCCCCTCTTTCCAACAAGACCTTTTCCCTCATGGAGAGCTCTTGCCCTTCCTTATTTGAACCTGGATAGATTTTTTTTTTTTAATCCATACCTTGGTTCTCAGCTTAAAGCTTATTTTTTTTTAATTAACATTTTTTGATCAAAGTTAACCACACATGTTTTAAAATTTTAAGTACTTCAAAAATATGTGTCCATGAAAAAGTGGTCTTCTTCCTCTTATCTTATTCCCTCTTGAGAGAGGCAAAGATTTTCAGCCATTTGGCTTTTTGTTTGTGTTGTTTTTGTTTTTACCAGCAGCCTATCTTCAAATCTCGTGCTATGGCAGAAATGGCTAGTTGTCCACCAATATTTGCTCCTTCCTTCCAAGGAATGGACATTTAGTAGGGCTCATAGACACCCGTTAGAAGACTACAATGCACAGCTTTCCTTGATGGCCAAGCATGGCCATGTGGCCAGTTTGTAAACTAGGGCATTGGAGAGTAACCGTTCGTGAGACTTGCAGGTAATGTCCAGAAGAGAAAAGAAATACCATCCACTTCTCTCTTCCTACTGTCTGCTTGCTGGGAATAGAAACACCATAGGAATGAAGGAGCCGGGAGGTAGAATACTGGAACCAACACCATGGAGCCAAAGCATCCCCTTGGAATTGACTATTCCTTCAGACAGTTATGTGAGAGGTGAGTAACATCTGCTTCCTTTAAGCTGCAGTAGACTGGGGTCTTTGTTACAAAGACAAAATTATGTTCTAACTAATACACATGCTTTTATTTCTACTTACTGATTCTTTTAAGTTTAGTATTTTCTTTTGATTATCCATTACACAAAAAGGAGTCACCTCTCTTTCATGAACATTAGAATTGTTTTTTTCCCAAGTTACCACAAACAGCCATATAAATTTTGCCCCACAAAAAGGAAAGAAATTGATGATTTCTATAGTTGCTATACAGTTTTCATCAGGATGTCTTCACCGTGATCCTGTACATTTTCTTCCCCTGCCACTGGTGGTAGATATTCCACATCCTAAGTCTTTTTCTATCTTAATTTGCCTTCTCCTTTTGGTGGGGCACATTGTAGAGTAGCTTCCTGAAAAAGAGTTCATTGGAAGTAAGATTTTTGATTGTTTGGGCATTGGAGAATATCTTTTATGTTCCTCTATCATTTGCTTGAATGTTGGTTGGGTATGGAATGCTAGGTTGGGGAGTATTTTCTTTCAGGATTTTGAAACTTCTCCACTGTCTTCTGGCTTCCAGTATTGCTTTTTGAGAATTAAGAGGTCATTCTAATTACTGATACTTCATTTGTAATTAGCTTTTCTCTCTTTCAGGATAATTTCTCTGTCCCCAGACAGAGATTTTCAAATGTCTGAAAAGTATGCCATCATGTGTTTCTATTTTCATTCATTGTTCTGAGAGCTCTATTACTTCATTAAATTTGGAAAATCATGTATTTCAGTTTGGAAAATTAGCTTGACTTCTTTGTTGTTGATTTTCTCACTATGTATTCTCTATTTTCTTTCTTTTTTCCCTGGAATTTCTTTTTTTTTTTTTTTTAAAGATTTATTTATTTATTTATTCATGAGAGACAGAGAGAGAGAGAGACAGAGGCAGAGGGAGAAGCAGGCTCCCCACGGAGCAGGGAGCCCGATGCGGGACTCAATCTCAGGACCCTGGGATCATGACCTGAGCTGAAGGCAGACGCTTAACCGACTGAGCCACCCAGGCGTCCCTCCCTGGAATTTCTTTTACCTCAGATTTTAAACCCCCAGGATATTTCCTCTACTTTTTTCTTTCTTCCCTGCCCCCACTTTTTTTCTTACTATTTGCACTCTTATTTTTTTCATAGACTTACTTTTTTTTAAGGCAGTTCTACATTTACAGAAAAATTGATAGGAAAGTACAGAGTTCCCACATACTCTCTCTCCTCTCCTATAGCTTCTCCTATTATTTACATGCTATACTATTGTGGTACATTTGTTACAACTGGTGAACCAATGTAACTGAAATCCATAATTTACATTAAGGCTCACGCTTTGGGTTGCCCATTCTATGGGTTTTGACAAATGTATAATGACATGTACCCATCATTACTGTATCATACAGAATAATTTCACTGCCCTGCGCCCTACCTCTTTATTCCTATATCCCTCCCTACCCTTTTCAGAGTAGCTTCTTTCACTTAACAATATGCTTTTAAGGTTCTTTCATGTCTTTTTGTGGCTTGATAGCTCATTTCTTTTTCTTACTAAATAATATTCCATCATATGATGTACTAGTTTATCCATTCACTTATTTTTTTAATGTTTTATTTATTTATTTTAGAGAGAGAGAGTGCACAAACACGGGGAGGGGTGTAGAGAGACGGAGAGAGATTCTTAAGCAGACTTCACACTGAGCGCAGAGCCTGACTCAGGGCTCAATCCCAGGACCCTGAGATCATGACCTGAGCCAAAACCAATAGTTGGATGCTTAACCAGTTGAGCCAACCAGGCGCCCACCCCATCCATTAATTTATTGAAGGACATTTTGGTTGCTTCCAAGTTGTCACAATTATGAATAAAGCTGCTATAAGCATTTGTATGCAGGTTTTTGTAGTCATAAGTTTCAACTCACTTGGGTATGTACAAGGCAGCATGACTGCTGGAGTTTCCCTTTATATTTTTTACTGAGTATTCTGGAAGATGTCCTTCACATTTATTCCAGCTGCTCCATTTTCATTTCTACTCTCACAATTTCAGTTTTAAGAGGCTTTTGTAATTGAGCTACTGTTTTGTACAGCATTCTTTCTCTCTGTAATAACTTTCCTGAGAAGTTTTCTTCTCTCTGCATAATATTTTCCTCTATTTTTTCTAGTTCACTTTTATCTCTTTCATATTACTTACTTTAGATGTCTAGTGATCTTTGGTTGCTGGTTATAGTTATAATTAAGCCCTAAAAATAACTGGAAACTGAGATTATGAGTCCAGTTCATTGACCGTGGACCTCACTGTAAAGTGATCTGCCTGCGCCATTTTCTATCAGACAGTGTCTTTAGCTCATCCTTCTGGGGATAATAAAATATCTCGAAGGAGGATTATTCAATCTCTGGCTTAGATGGCATAAAACTGACTTCCTGCATCCCAAGAAAATTCCTGAAGGACAAAGGTTGAAGGAAGTTCCTTTTGAATTTCAAACTTAATGAATGACACCATCTGCTTCAAGTTACAAAATTATATTACAAATAAATTATAAATTCATATTTCATGTATAAAAAGAGACAATATATTACACACCACTTCTGAAGAAGGACCTGCATCTTCAATGCTAATTAGGTCTCCAAAATGGACCAAAACAAGGAAAGGTAAAAAAGACCACACACTTGCAGAATACTAAGATGAGCTGGGCCAGGTGAGCCTTGAAAGAAACTGTAGTGATGTGTGTGTGTGTGTGTGTGTGTTCACTGTCCGTGCTGGTCACAAAACAGCACAGTTACTCTAAGGAAATAATTAGCTGGCATGAGCAGAGTAACTGGATTAATACCTTCCTCTCCATCTTTTTTTTTTTTTTTCTCTTTTAAAGGTGTGTTCATTAATTTACCTGAGCGTTTTCAACAATTCCTAAGTGAGAGCACTTCCTGGGGCGGAGGAGAAAGTACTGGTGAGTTTTCGGGCACGGGGTGGGGATTGCTCCGGGTTTTTCTCTCGGGTGTTCAAACCCTGGCCAGCAATATGCCCTGGTTCTCCACGCTGTTATGGGAAGCCTGTCCTTCCTTCCTAGGACGCGTGAAAATGGTGAATATTTAG